AATTAGTGTCCAAACTACAGTCATATAAACACACAATGTACACAGATAATTAGTGTCCATACTATAGTCATATAAACACACAATGTACACAGTTAATTAGTGTCCAAACTACAGCCATATAAACACACAATGTATACAGATAATTAGTGTCCATACTATAGTCATATAAACACACAATCTACACAGTTAATTAGTGCCCAAACTACAGTCATATAGACACACAATGTACACAGATAATTAGTGTCCATACTATAGTCATATAAACCAATGTACACAGTAAATTAGTGTCCAAACTATAGTCATATAAACACACAATCTACACAGTTAATTAGTGTCCAAACTACAGTCATATAAACACACAATGTACACTAATATCAATTAACATTAACTTAAATATAAGGAATGTAATTGATTTTTTTAGGTCATAACAACATTAACTTTCTGGACTTATTCCGTGAATAGCGTTAAATGTTGAAAATATAATTTCATTCCTTAAATATAATATTGGCATATGAACATTTCTACCTGTTTCTGCTTTTCAATTTCGGACTTGGACACTTCCGTTTCAGCTTTCTCTGCAGCCCTCCTCATTATGGCTATATCAGATCTCACATCTTCCTTTGCATTTTGCATGTAGAAGAGACGAAGTGCAAGGTTCTCAACCTCACTTTGGAGCTCAGCGTCTGTAGGCAATGGAAAGCATACAAATTATTAGACCCTGTGCTTAGCGTTCATTCTTTAGTGTCAAAATAATGATGTTGAGTGCCATCTTGCAGTTTTAGGAATTTCTAACTGTTTAATACAAGGTGAATTTGGTGAAATTAAACTCCAGTCAAACCTGCATTTGAGGCCACCTAGTTATAAATGGTCACCAGCAGTCACCTGTCTAATAGGGTCAACACCCACTAAAATAGGCAGTCACCTGTCTAATAGAGCCAACACCCACTAAAATAACCAGTCACCTGTCTAATATGGCCAACACCCACTAAAATAGGCAGTCACCTGTCTAATAGTGCCAACACCCACTAAAATAGGCAGTCACCTGTCTAATAGGGCCAACACCCACTAAAATAGGCAGTCACCAGTCTAATAGGGCCAACACCCACTAAAATAGGTAGTCACCTGTCTAATATGGCCAACACCCACAAAAATAGGCAGTCACCTGTCTAATATGGCTAACACCCACTAAATTAGGCAGTCACCTGTCTAATAAGGCCAACACCTACTGAAATTGGCAGTTACCTGTCTAATATGGCCAACACCCACTAAAATAGGCAGTCACCTGTCTAATATGGCCGACAACCACTTAAATAGGCAGTCACCTGTCTAATAGTCTAATAGGTAGAGTAGTGCTGTCACACAAACAATGAAGTGGTAGAGTAGTGCTGTCACACAAACAATGTAGTGGTAGAGCAGTGCTGTCACACAAACAATGTAGTGGTAGAGCAGTGCTGTCACACAAACAATGTAGTAATAGAGCAGTGGTGTCACACAAACAAAGTAGTGGTAGAGTAGTGCTGTCACACAAACAATGTAGTGGTAGAGCAGTGCTTTCACACAAACAATGTAGTGGTAGAGTAGTGCTGTCACACAAACAATGTAGTGGTAGAG